CTCCCATAAAAATAAAACTAAACTCTTTAAAATTATCTATATTGAATTACAAAAAGTTTCTAATTGGTTCAAATTAAATAAATTGTCTCTTAATATTTCTAAGACAAATTTCATTTTTTTCAATTATGAAGTAAAAGAGATGGACTCTTTCACTATTAAAATTTATGATAATATAATTAAACAAGTAAATAAAACAAAATTTTTAGGCGTAACTTTAGATTATAAGTTATCCTGGCAACCTCACCATAATAACATTACCAATACCGTATTATTTCCAGAAACATTGGTGTTATGAGTAAATTAAAATATATTTTTCCACAACGCATTCTCCCATCTTTATATAATACTTTATTTTTACCATATATCAATTATTGTAATATATCCTGGGCTACTACTATTGACAAATTTCCTTACCTATGTCCCTGGACAAGTCTTGAAGTGACAAATATTCATAATAATATTTTCAAATTACAAAAACAGGCTCTTAGGACTTGTGCAGGATCATCCCGTTTACCAGATACAAAACCTTTATTTTACAAATTTAATATTCTTAATGTTTTTGATATATATAAGCTGCAAACTAATGACTTTATGTATCGTTTTAAAAATAATACATTACCTAAATACATTGTTTCATTATTTCCCAAACAACAATCAGATATACATAATTCATCATCTAGCTATTTCGCTCCACTGCAGGAGGAAAGCCTCTTCATCGACTTGTCATTCTTCTCTGTTCTGTGCTCCTCTCCTCCATGTAATGCCTTTGAATTCTCGCATTTCATCCATCCACCTTCTTTTCTGTCTACCTCTTTTCCTGACTCGATTTCTTGGCACCTTAACCATTACTTTTCTTGTCCATCTATTATCCATCCTTCTTGCTACATGACCTGCCCATCTCCATTTCGTCTTAATCTTTATTTCTAGTATTACGTCATTCACTTTTGTAGCCTTTCTCACATCTTCATTTCTGAATCTGTCTCTTCTTGTGATTCCCATCATTGTACGTTCCATTGCTGTTTCTGTCACTTTCAATCTCTGTTCCATTCTCTTTGTAGTTTCAACTGAATGTGCCATGACTGGTAAAATACATTGATTAAACAGCTTCTTCTTGAGTGGAAGCGGTAAATTTTTGTCTCTAAATATGAACCCAAGTTTTCCAAATTTTACCCATGCTAACTGTATTCTTCTATTAACTTCTGCAGTGGTGTCATCCTCCATCCTTATCTTCTTGCCCACGTATACCTAACAGTCTACATTTTCAATTGTCTTCCCATCTAGTGTTATGGTACTACCTGCTACTACCTCTTTACTGAACATAACCTTGGTTTTACTTATGTTAATGTTTAGTCCAGATTTTTTGCTTTCTTCGTGCAATTGATGTAGCATTATCTGAAGCTCTTCTGGATTGTGACTAAATAAAAGGATGTCATCGAAAAATGTTAGGTTGTTTAGGTATTCGCCGTTCACCGATATTCCCTTAGCACTCCAATCCAGATTTTTAAAGATGTTCTCCATCACTGCAGTAAACGGTTTTGGTGAAATTGGATCTCCCTGTCATACTCCCTTCAGTATGTTAAATATTCCTGTCGAACTGTTCATATCGATGTGTACTCTTGCACAAGCTTTTTTATACAGAGCCCTAATGATGTCAATGTATTTGCTATCTGTGATCTGCCTTTCAAGAACTTAAAGTAGTTCTTGCTGACTGATGCTGTCGAATGCTTTTTCATAGTCCACAAAGCATAGACTGATGGGAAAGCTATACACTTTGGACTTCTCTATAAGCTGACTTAAGACGTGTAGATGGTCTGATGTTGAAAAACCTGCCCTAAATCCTGGTTGTTCGTTTGACTGGTTGTCATCCAGTTCTCTTTGCATTCTAGTGAGGATGATTCTTGTAAAAAGCTTGTATACGTGTGATAGAAGGCTTATAAGTTTTTATGTCTCTTATATCTCCTTTCTTAAACAATATCATTATCTTTTCCTCATTCCAACTACTCGGTATCTCTTCATTCTCCACTCTTTTATTATGACATTATGTATCGTTTTAAAAATAATACATTACCTAAATACATTGTTTCATTATTTCCCAAACAACAATCAGATAATTATACATAATTATAAAACCAGATTTTCTAAAATTAATGTTATGTTTGAAAAATATACATCTCTTCATCGAAAAAATGCAATATTCTAAAATGGTCCTAAATTGTGGAACTCTTTACCTATTACGTTAAAAAATATCCCCAATCTTTCTTCTTTTAAAACCAAACATTTAAACAATTTCTGGTCTCAGTATATGGTAAGCCTCTTGTTATATTATTTGTTATATTATTTATCTCATTGTACGAAGTGATGTTTGCCCTACTTGCAGGGAACACTCTGTAAATGACTCTGGTAAGAATTGAGCCCAGGATCCTCAACTAACCAGTGAGTTGTTTTTGTTTTTTTCTTCCTCGCGGGCGTTTGGAGGGTATGCTGGGCTTTCTCTACGTGCAGCGCATAGGGTTGGGGCAGGCATCTCTTCGTATTAATTCTTCTAATACAAAAATCATGACAATTTTCTTATTGTAATTATTGACTTATTGTTATTATGACTATCATTATTTTATGCAACCGTAATCAAGACAAACGTATCTACCGTACTTTTTTAATTTATAGTATTATGAATATTCTACTTTATTTATTTATTTATTTGTTATTTATTTATTCATTTTATGTTTAATCTTTTATATATATATTTTTTTTATTTTAAATTTACATATATGTGTGTGTGTAGGCTTGCATGTAATGTAGGTGTGTGTGTGTGCATATATATATGTCATGTGTTTGTGTTTATATATATATATATATATATATATATATTATTTTGTCATCATTATTATTATTATTGTTGTTAGTATTATTATTTTATTACTATTATTATCATTATTATTATTATTACTATTATTATTATTATTATTATTATTATTATTACTTATTTATTTATTTATTTATTTATTTATTATATTATTTATTATTGGTAGTCACATCTTAAAGTTTGTTTTACAAACTTATTTTGACCTCCTACCGCACACTTCTTTTCTTGTTTATAAAATGTAATTTAAATTGTAATATTTATTGTTGATTAATATTTTATGAGTGTGTGGTAAAAAAACAATAAAAAAAAAAACCGACAAACTTAGCATTATTCTGTGCCAAGTCAGTTTTCATAATCATTTCTAAATTATTTACTCTGTTATCAACGCCTTTTAAAAAATAAGCTACCCTCTCCTAAATTGATTTATCAGTTACCACTGCTTCTGATGCTTTTGGATTCACATGGTTGGCAAAACCAGTGGACTGAATGCATAATATATGTAAGGATCGGATTATAAAACTAGATGTTTTAAGCTTCATAATCATCTATATAATCTTACAATTAACGCAAATTTGAGTGATCATTTTACTTTTAAATTTGACAACATCTTAATATGCTTTTGCATAGGAAAAAGGTTAAAATTCTAGTGTGTTTTGGTATACTTCCTACTTCTTTCTAACATAACTCTGCAACGACTGGTCGGTAAACTTTGGGTGAACGGTCAAGTGTAGCTCATAATTTAAGCTTTATTGACGTGTAAATCTCATGCTGGTTGGCTGAATAACCAGTGATCATTTTGTCTTTAAAATTTTGAATTCATAACCGTAGTTACCCTCTCTATGAAGTTTTCAGTGGTTAGTGCTTTCCATGAGGTTAAATTTACTTCCATCAGATTTCGATCGTTTTAAATAAGCTATTTAATTTTTTTAATTGGGTAGACAGCCTTTAATATAAACAGTACGGCACATAGAATATCGTCAGATTTGGTATAATCAATGTTTATTTCTTAATTAATCGGCACGTACGTTTTAGTTTGATTTTAAAAGTTTGTTGAACTATTATTAATGTTTTGAATAAAGCTATATTTTGAAGTAAAATGTTCCTAATGTAATATAGTTTTGGAGTTCAATAGTATAATATTAACTTATATAACAATTGGAATTTTGTTTATCATCGATACCCTTTACCTGTTAAATGTCTCAATTTAGCTTGACAGCTTAATAATAACCCATTTGAGTATGCAGATAATGTAATCATACAATTGGTCATTCTAGCTTTACCCAGTAAATTGGAATTACCCTTTCCCACATTATGAATCTATGATTGTCAGTTTTAAGTCTATATTTTGAAGTTTCTAATAAATATATCTTAATTAACTGTTTCTTGATAAACAAGCCATTAAATCACAGACAAAGAATTTCTCTATGATCCAATCAGAAACTCCACATATATGAGGTGATTAGTTAAAGACACGCCTCATTTCTACTAGAAAGTTTAATACTGTAGATGCTGTACAGGGACGTTTTACTTGGAAAAGGGATTAAGACTTAGATTTAGATCTAACCTAACAACTCAGAATTGACTACACTCTAAAGGTTTCTATTCTAACATCTGAGGAGAAACCTGAAGTATCGATTGTATATTATATGTACAGTAGAATGATATGTTAGATGCTAAATAAAGCTTTGCAGCATATTATAACCAAAAGTGAATGTTGTGGACCACCTCATTAAAAGTCATCATCCAACCATAATCTTACATTATTATCATGGAACGTACTACATATAGATATTTCTGCTATGAAGAGTGTAATGTTAAAACATGTATGAGTTCACCTCTGTCTCCTGATCCGACCAGGCGCCTTTTTCAGAACACTTGAAAGTACCACAACTAATGGACTGGACATTTGCAAGATGTTCAGAAAGAAAACCTGTATCGGTCCCTACGGGCCTCACCTTAACTGGCCTGGTAATTTGGCACTGGGCCGTCACCACCTCTACGTCGCTCCAGGCATAGGCTCACTTGCATTAATAGCATCTTGTTCTTTTAGTTTGTTAGGTATTTTAATATCACGTAAAGTTATACCTGTATGGAAGTGCCCTTTAACACGTTTTAATTTGTTTTGTTTTATTTGCAGGAAGTGAAATCAGTAAGCACCACACTACTCCCAGTGTTGATGTGTGCCGCTGCCCAAAATGGTGACCTGAACTTACTCAAACAATATGCGTCTAAGGTAATGATACCTCGGTTATAATCGGAATATCCACTGCCTAATACATTGTTAGCATTAACAATATTATAACAGGCCTATCAAAATTCATTCACTCACTCAGTCACTCATATATTTGTTCATTCGTTCGTTAATTCATTCATTCTTTAGCCTTTCATAAAAATTTTATTCACAATTTAATTCACAATACAATAGGCACATAACATAATATAAAACATAACCAACTGAAAATACAGAAATTGTCCATGTCACGTCAACAATGTCATCTAAATAAATTTAGTGAAACACACATACACACCCATACACCCACTCACCCACAAATTATGGTTTCATTTGGGACCCATGGGTTTGTCCAAGTTAATTCATTGGACCATTGTGGACTCTATCTGGGTTTTTAAAGGGTTAAATCGGGGTTGAATTGTAAGGGGACCCTATAAATTTACCCATGGGAAAGAGATGCATGTGCATCCTAAATCCATATGGGTCCCATAAAGTTGGCCCAAATTAATTTATGGGCTCCTTAAAGAATATATTTGGGCACCTTAGGTTTGCATTATAGTTTTATATAGGACCCATATTGGTTTTACCAAATTAATTCATGGTCCAACTATGGGTTATATCTGGGTTTTTTAGGATTGAAATGCTAGGGGCCACCATAAATTTTCCCATACGGGAAAGAGCTGCCTGTGCACCCAAAATCCATAAGGTTCCCAATATATTTGGGCCCCTTAGGTTTGCATTATGGTTTTATTTGGGACTCATGTGGATTTTGTCCAAAATAATTTACGAACCCATGCTGGGCTATATCTGTTTTTATTTTATTTTTTATTTTTTTGTTCATGGCTGAATAGGAATTGAAATGTCAGGAGCCACTAAAATTTGTTGGGTGTTGTGTTTTTTACAACTCTTCAATTGGTCCCAGTTCCTTGTTGTAAAATATCAATGGCTTGAATTGACTCCTGTAGACTTAATAAATACACTGAGTTTAAGATATACAAACCATAATATCTTTAATTAAAAAACATCAGCTGTACTTCATGGGGTAGGGTCTTGCATACCCCTTCACATATCATTTGGCTTAAGTCTTTACTGTTACGCTTACAGTCCTGTTTATATCGACATTTTGTCTATAATTATAAGCCTAGTGAATTAAAGCACTAGAGTTTATAATATAGAACCATATTCAAGAGTCGTTTGTGTTAGGCGTGCATTTAAACCAACATTCTTTGTCAATTAAAATATACAAAATGCTATTTTTGTTTAAACTATCTTAATTAAGGTGATTTTGCTGTCTTTGTCTTTAGGCAAAGAATGAATTAGGATATGTACAGTACATAAAACATTCCTACTCAAATTTAGAATCTGTTATTTCCCTTGAAAATCAAAGTTATTAAAATAAGAGTACGATATACTGTACTGCCCTCCCATGGCAAAAGGGCATAACTGACAATTTGCTGTTTTGGAGATATTAAGCAAAACGTGTAATTTATTTAGCCCTAAAATGTGTTTTAGTATTTGATTTCATGGTTAATGTATTCAAATAGACAAATAATGTCTCTTCCAGTGTAGCACACATTTTTTTCTATAAATATTGATGTCTGCGCTCAAAATGTCAGTTATGCCCTTTTGCCGTGGGTTTTCTGATTCAAAACATGTTGACAAACTTTGGCAAAAGAATATAAGTACCCAGTTTAGTTCCTTTCAACGCAATTTTGAGTCAGATTATCCATTTCATATGTTAGTCATGTTTAAACTATAAAATAAATGTACAATAATACCAAAGAACGCATTAAATAATAAATACTAAAATTACAAACGATTAAAAACCCATGTACAGGCTAACCAAGTATACAAACAAGAAAATGAATTAACATTAGTATGTTATTATGTATCAACAAAGCCTTTTTGGCTCAAGGTGTTAGATCGAGGACCATGTGGGTAGGGGGCCTTATGGACCCAGGGGTCTGGGGCCCCGCACAAGAGCGCATAGGCGTTACGTCACTGTGTGAAGGATGCATGCGTATGCGTATATGAAATAGAACTGCTGTTTAGTTAGAATGCGCGTGTGACTGTTTCTATGTGTACGTTAAACAAGAATTACAATTATTTTTTAAATTTTATTTACAAAGCAAAATAATAAATTAATATTTTAAGTCATGTAATTACAATATAAATTAGGCCTATTATTATTATTATTATTATTATTATTATTATTAGCAATTCTTTTCTATGATCCAAATTCAAGTAATAATGAAATGATTACGAATATTATTGTTTTTTTAAATATTCTAATAACATATTTAGAAAATGTATTATATATATAGGCCTATATTTGGATGGAAAAGTAAGTTGTTGTTTGCTTAGTGAACACAGTTGATTCGAGTAAACTGTGCATTTATACCTTTTTGTCATGCCATTTGCTATAAATAAATGTTGTAGTTGTGCCTCTTTGCATAGTTATTTGCTAAATAATCGTTGTACTTGTCCCTCTTTGTCACAGTTATTTCTAGTTAAAATGTGAATTGTTATTCTGCCATGGTTAATTATTTTTATTAAACAGTTACTATTTTCCTATAGTTTTATTTCCATAGTATTAAACTGTTGCCATTCAAAGTAAGGCAAGATTATATAGCATAAATTAACTAGGCTTATCATGTTTGCCTAATATTAACTAGACATATGCTACTGTCAAAAATCATACTATTTAACCAATTTCTATTTACAAATTGTGAGTACACAAACAGTAAGAATAATAAAAATAATACAACTTAACATGCAACCTTCATTGTAACAAGGAAGAAAGCTCTCTATTGATTGGTTGGCTGTTGAAAGAACATCACGCTTCAGCGTATCACAGCCTATCTTTGCAGTTATGCCCTTTTGCCTTGGGAATTTACTGAAAATTGTGTAGTTATGCCCTTTTTCCATGCCCCTATCTAGCCCGGGGGACACTTTTTTACAATTGTTTTTGTGGCAACATGTGTAACATGATGTACTGACCCCATTAGATAATAAAACTCATTTTCGCCAAAAATGTCAGTTATGCCCTTTTGCCATGGGGGGCAGTATAGACTAGCAGTTTTTTTTATTTTATTAAAAGTGAATTATCAGTTCCAATCCTGTGTTTTTGTGTTTTTTTTTAGTTTTCAAAACAGCTTAAAATTAAATGTTGTCCATACAGCACATTACAGTGTTACAGTGATATCCATTATAGGCCTATTACATACACAATATATTTTATTAGTTATAACCTCCATCATGGTAGTAAGTACAGTAAAGTGTGTCTATTTGGAGTAGGATTCATAATCAGAACCTGTAGTACAGTAGGCCCCTGAACTTAAATCTGAACAAACCATTTTATTCACCTTTGAAAGTCAGGCAATTTTCTGTTTCCGCAACTGCCACAATAAGGCTTCAAACAAACATCACTTTACTGGGAGACCTGCTGAGACTGAGTTACCAACATCTTCTGAAAAAAGGCAAAAGTTATAATATTAATGATTAAGCCCTAGGCCTACATACAGCAACTGTTGCCAAACATACTAAAGATTTATCCCTCAACCCATTGTTTTATTATTTAGCATGGAGAGTGAGTGAGAACATGGCTTAATTTACCAATAGTTAAACTTAGGGGCAATGCTGCAGTCTGGGCAGTCAGACGGATTACTCCAATAATCATTCAATGATATAGAATTACCTAAATGATACCACAATTATTTTATATTACTCTATATATATACTGTCTCTTATACACATCTAGATGTGTATAAGAGACAGATATAGGACCCTACATTTATTTTAATATTATTAAAATATTAAAGGTTTTTATTACTACTATTGCAGTTATTATTATTATATATACATTTATTTTAATATTATTAAAATATTAAAGGTTTTTATTACTACTATTGCAGTTATTATTATTATCCGCATTATTAGGCCTATTAATTACTTTTTTTTTTTTATTAGAATCGTAATAGACGTTTATAAAGTGTATATTTTTATGAATACAGTAGAACCCTTCCTTTTGGTCAACCCTATTAAGTGGGCACTTTTTTGTGAAACGAGGAACAGTATAGCTTTTAACACTACAGCCAACCCATATTAAGAGGTGTGCCAAATGGGCAAAAAACACCTAATAAGTTTTTTTTTTGCATTGTATCACAACATCTACAGCACTCTAATCAGTATGCCTACTGCATGTGTTACTTCGTAAACCAATTTTGACCCTTAACAATTGTGATTTCTTTTTTTGTTTTGTTTTTTGTGTATTTCATAAAGATTCTAATCAATATCAAAACATTACTCTATTCATGCTATAGCCATCTAATAGAAAGTAATGATTTTGGTTAGTGTCCCCAGAATAGGGGTACCCCTATTCAGGGACACCCATATTAAGGGTTTTACTTTATACAGTGAAACAAAATCACATACACGAATATTAGGGATTTATTGATAGTCAAATTGGCTACATCCAAAGTTTATTTTTGATATTTACCGTCTTCAAATTCACAACAGGAAAGTTTAAAAGTTAACTGTATGTCTACACTGTTATCTCAGGCTGGCTACCCCAGCGGTGTTTTTTTTTTTTTTTTTTTTTTTTTTTTCAGGGGTATTCCACAGTATTTGGTCCGTGAGGGTTACATCTTTATTTATAATTCTTATTATACGTAACTTTTGGTAATTTCTCAATCTAAAAAAGTTTCATGGATTACATTCAAAATTAGCACTGTGGAATTAAACAGGTGCATGTTTACTTCTGGTAAACATTTTTTTGGCAAACTGTTTATTTCAGATTGGCAACATCCGAAATCAACTATTCATTTCACACCGGGAATGCCCAACTATTTTAACCTAGCGTCACACATAAGTATGTTAAACGCATTTGAACTAAATCCGCATGAATTGAAATGAATAAAATATTAAAATTTGTATGCATGATTAAATATTTTTTTGAGAATGTTAAACGATTAAATATTTCTGAAATTATTGAAAGAAAAGAA